GTTTTGACAGACACAGATGCTGTAAACACCTGAATCCATCATATCTGTGTCTGAGGCTGTGCGCCGTCTTGTATGCAGCCATCAAAATGTGAGGGTCACAGCTTATGGGTCTCCGTAGTTACACTTCACCCTGTATGGGGGAACACCCCTGCCTAAGCCTCCATCTCTCCTAGGAGCAGGCACCAGAAGCAGGGCCCCCGGGAGACGACCACAGAAAAAATGGCCCAGTACATGAGCTGAATGGCATTTGGAGTTGCCCATTTTTCTCTGTGGCCCTCTCTGATTGTTCATGTTTACCCAACGTGCTACCATTACTAATTGGATTACTCTAAAACTTTATTTAAAGATAAACTTGCGTTTATGCATTTATGGGATTGAAATGGATATAGTATATGATCTATCAGGATACTTTTTGGATCCATTGGGACATACTTTTACTCTATTTGAGTTGTGTTACTACTAATACTGTATAACATTGTATATTGGTATATTAGGAGACTCTTTTGAGTCACCTTCATTGCATGTCCCTATGGCCCCTAATTGAAGGAATATACTTTGATACCCCTGTATGATAATAATTAGCCCACTGTGTAGATATAAAGTAATCAATGCGAGAGCAATGGCAGTTTTGGATTTACTGTCTTTCCAACCATATATATATTTATGACTTCCAGAACGCATCCAGTAACTGTTTGAAGGACACATCATGGACAGGCGTACCTTCTTTCCCATTCGTTGGCCCGCATGGTCCCCTACTTCCCTTACCTCCCGAGTTGTTTTGGGTTGGCTCTCCGGCAGTAGGGACGCATGTCAGTAGGACAGAGATTCCATTAATGGTATTTATCTATAATTGATCTTTTTATGTAATGTGGAACTTTAATTTTAAATATATAATAACATTTCGGAAATGTACAAATATTGATGTTTTGATTACTAGATCCTTATGATTATCATAGGCACCTCCATATTTTCCTGATGAAGCGAAACATGTCGAAAACTGGACACATTATAGATCTACTCAACATTATGGATGAATTTATTTATGCAATTATATAAAGAGATATTTAAGGAGATAAATGTTAATAATTTATTGTTATATACACAGTATGTATCTATATGTGATCCAGGGAGGTTTTGTACCATCTAATGATATCACTAATCTGTCATCTTTATTTTAATAAAGAATATATATATTTTTATACAATAAACGACTTGTATGTAATTTTGAACTGGGTCTCCTTGCATTTGAGGACACTTTTAAAGCCCCATTTCTCTATTTTTGTTTTTGTATTCCAAAGATAAACTCCAGGCAGATATAAAAGACACAAATGAATGCAGTGAACTTTGCATGCAATAATACATTGTTTAATGCATTTTTTGCAAGCAGTGTAAGGCCTAATTCCCAAAGCTAAGTGTCGGCCCGTACAGATCTGTGCGGTGTGCACGGCCGTATCGCGCCAGTTCCGGGAAGGACAGGTGCTACGTGTGATTGTATGCAGCAGCCTGTTCTACTCTATGGGAGTACACTGCCGTATGCTCACCCGAGCTGCACATCCGTGAGGTGGTGGGTGCCCATACTCGTACGCAGACAGAATGGATCCTTCTCCCCGCAGGGGGGGGGGGGATGGGGATGGCACCTCCCTGAAATGATGGCAGATAGCAGGGGTGCTAATGCTTCCCTTGCTATTTGCTAGTTTTTTTTTGTATACTGACAGCTCCTGCCATCAGAATAAAAAAAATAAAAAAAACTGTTAGAGGCTATTTCAATTTGCAATAGCCGATAGCAGGCTGGCTATTGCACCCGCCCACTGCTGCTGTCAATCAGCAGAGGAGGACCTGAAGGAGAATTTCAGGCCCACATCTGCTAAATGACAGCAGGAGAGGGCGGGTACAATAGCCAGCCTACTATCGGCTATTGCAAATTGAAACAGCCAATAACTGCCTAGCTATTCATTCCCATGCAGTCTGTTTTTTTTTTTTTACTCTGACAGCAGTCGGCAGCCTTGCTGTCAAAAATAAAAAAAGGTTTACTTTGCTAGAAAGAGCAGAGTAAACCTTTTCGGTATAAAACGTTTCTCTGCCTGGCGTCCAGGAGCCGCTAGCAGGAGACTCCCGGAACATCCGGGAGTTGAGATGTCTGTATCAGCCTGTCATTGCATTGTCCAGGGTGTGTAGTTTATTACATGTAGAAACCATGATCTTGACAACGCAGAGCAGCCTCTGAACTGCCATGTATACTGTTCAATTAAAGACAATGGGATTTTGCTGACCTGCATTTTAGGTGCAATCCAAACACACATCAAACGCAGGAAAACAACACCTCTTGGCATGAACCCGTCACATAGCCCTGGATAGCAGTAAAAACCCAAAAATTGGCCTAGTCCTTCCCCAATCCATCCCAAAAAATGTTTTACCATGATATTCACTTTAAGCAGGGGTAGGCAACTCCGGCCCTCCAGCTGTTGTGGAATTACAAGTCCCATGAGGCATTGGAAGACGGACAGTTCCAGGCATGACTCCCAGAGGTAGAGGCATGTTGGGGTTAAAGCAAAGCTGGAGGGCTGAAGTGTGTTCAGTTGCTCAGCCGCTGCAAGTGCTAAGTTAGCAAACCACCACGAACGATGTGCTGCAAGTCAGCGCTCAGGACTGCTAATTTAGCACTTGCAGCAGAAATGAATGTGGATGCAGAGCGCTAAGTGTGATGGAGAAGTTGGGGACAGAGCACCAGCGGCCATTTAAACTGTGGGCAAACCTGGCAGCGCTGAAGAAAGGTGCCTGAACCCCGATGGAGGAAATCAATTAAGTGTGGGAACCTACAATTTCATGTTTTGGTGGAAGAGCACAACATTCATTGGAAATGGTATTGATTAGTCAAAGATATTATCCTCCGCCATTTTGCTTAGCACTGTGCAGCTGATGCGTTCAGTGAAGCTGCTGCAGTGAACTGAAGTGCTTCAGTGCTTGGCTAAGGAACTGAACACACCTCTGGAGTTGCCCACCCCTGCTTTAAAGCTGACTCTAGACTCAAAAGCATTCATGTAAATATATTCCTCAATAGCCACTGTGGATCTACATAAACTCCACTTTGTGTGTGCCAAGTGGCTTTGCAAATCCAGATATCACCTTGTTAAGGTAGCAGTGACATCACTGTGCTTTACATAGTCTGTGCCGAGCGCAGAAATGTAGGAGGGGCCCAAAAGGCCCCACCCACTACAGGCTGCCTGCAGGAAACTACAGGATGGGGCGGATACAAAACCAGTCACCCTGCACAAGGAGAGAGAGTAGCAGTGACCGGTCTTTTTTACTGGAAGCTTCTGCACAAGGGCAAAGCTTTATACATTGGATTAAAAAAAATTCCCCAATCACACCAAGATTCAAGTATGAATACCCATGCCTCTTGTATTAAAGGGGAACTCACCTCCCCAGCACCTTCAACCAAACTTATGTAGGGCCTTTGCCTGTCTTGATTGGCCGGAGGAGTTCATTTATTCCGGCACCAAGTGTGCCAGGAATGCAAACTGAGCTGAACATGAACAACTCAATATACACTATATTACCAAAAGTATTGGGACGCCTGCCTTTACACGCACATGAATTTTAATGGCATCCCAGTCTTAGTCCGTAGTGTTCAATATTGAGTTGGCCCACCCTTTGCCACTATAACAGCTTCAACTCTTCTAGAAAGGCGTCCACAATGTTTAGGAGTGTGTCTTTGGGAATGTTTGACCGTTCTTCCAGAAGCGCATTTGTGAGGTCAGGTACTGATGTTGGACGAGAAGGCCGGGCTCGCAGTCTCCGCTCTAATTCATCCCAAAGGTGTTCTGTCGGGTTGAAGTCAGGACTCTGTGCAGGCCAGTCAAGTTCCTCCACCCCAAACTCGCTCATCCATATCTTTATGGACCTTGCTTTGTGCAGTGGTGCGCAGTCATGTTGGAACAGGAAGGGGCCATCCCCAAACTGTTCCCACAAAGCTGGGAGCATGAAATTGTCCGAAATGTCTTGGTATGCCGATGCCTTAAGAGTTCCCTTCACTGGAACTAAGGGGCCAAGCCCAACCCCTGAAAAACAACCCCACGCCATAATCCCCCTCCACCAAACTTTACACTTGGCACAATGAAGTCAGGCAAGTACCGTTCTCCTGGCAACCGCCAACCCAGACACGTCCATCGGATTGCCAGACAGAGAAGCGTGATTCGTCACTCCAGAGAACACGTCTCCACTTCTCGAGTCCAGTGGCGGCGTGCTTTACACCATTGCATTCAACACTTTGCATTGCACTTGGTGATGTAAGGCTTGGATGCAGCTGTTCGGCCATGGAAACCCATTCCATGAAGCTCTCTACGCACTGTTGTTGTGCCAATCTGAAGGCCACATGAAGTTTGGAAGTCTGTAGCTATTGACTCTGCAGACAGTTGGCGACTTCTGCGCACTGTACGCTACAGCATGCACTGACCACGTTCCCAGTTGCTTCCACTTTGTTATAATACTACTAACAGGTGACCGTGGAATATTTAGTAGCAAATACATTTCAGGGAACACCTGAATCCGATGATTTGGAGGGGTGCCCTAATACTTTTGGTAATATAGTGTACATTCTGAAGAAGATTGAGAACCGGCACGTGGGTTTGTTTTTTGCATGGACGTACATAGCATGTCCCTTTTGCATTAAAGTGCCTGCTCCCAATTTTCTTTAGGTGTAGTTCCACTTTAGGACATTTTTTGCTTATCCAGGAGTTCGGCTTTAACAGTGTGCAGATTATATATATATATAGTGTGTGTGTATATAGGCCGGGCTATGTAACATTACACAGGCACAAGCAGCGATTACAGCATGACATTGCCATTCAACTCTTGAAAAAACACAGAGCAATGTCAAAGTCAATGGACTTTGGCACAAATCATTCGCTCGGACCTCCTAGTGCGGCCTCTCCTCCGTCGTCTCGCACGCACAGACCGCCGCGGGGCACTCTAGGAGATGTAGTCCCTTGCTGCTCTCTCTTCTCAGATCGTCAGCCAACTATCCCCCCCGGGGAGGCCAGCATCCAGCTGTAGTAGATAAACACACGGATTTCCGCCCGGAGGTGCCGGGAAGAGGACTGTACGTGCCGCCTGCATAGGAGGACACTATAACAGGGGACGGCCGTGGACTACATGTCCCAGAGTGCAGAGCGGCTGGCAGAGCGCTGGCCGGGGAGACGTGTGTTTGCTATTTGCATGGATGGGTGGCGGAGGAGCTTCCCGTACGCGGTGTGAATGAGAGAGCGGAGAAGGGGCGAAGTATCCGTCAGCCTCGTGTCGGGGATGTGCTCCTGGCCCCGGGAGTTGGGCAGCCGATAGACGCCGCCAAAGAGGGCGATGCCTCGGGACGACATGAACTCCCCTCTCATCCAGAAGATTGCCCGCCAGGCCCTGCTGACTTTCCGCGGCCTGGGCTCGGCCGACGCCGGTAAAGGCTTCTCGGAAAACCTGACGCAGCTGAGGAAGCTGGTGAGCGAGATCCGAGCCGAGGACCTAAAGATCCGGCCACGGAAGAACGCGGCCGCTCCCCCCATCTCCGTGCCGCACAACCCGCCCGTCACCTACATGCACATCTGCGAGACGGAAGCCTTCAGCATGGGGGTGTTTCTGCTGAAAGGCGGCACCAGCATCCCGCTGCACGACCACCCGGGGATGCACGGCATGCTCAAGGTGCTGTACGGCAAGGTGCGCATCATGGGCTTCGACAAAATGGAGGCGGCGCCGACTGACCTGCCTCCCTTTTTTGGACGACGGCCGGGACTGTCACTACTACAAGCTGCTGCTGCCGGCCTCCCCCGAGCACACCGACACCGGGGAGGCCGACCAGCAGGCTGGAGCGGACGGCGTGCACCCCCGGGAGATGTGGCTGCTGGAGATCCCGCAACCCGATGACTTCTGGTGCGGGGGCGAGCCCTACCCGGGTCCTAAAGTGTCCATGTGACCCCTCTACTACCTCCCTATGGGGCCCCACCTCTTCCACTTGTCACTGCTAGACAACTGGTCAGTCATCAGAAGAGATGGACCCAGTGACCCCCTGCAACTAGGGTCATGATCATCCCACCTCTTCCTCCATTCAAACATAAAACTGGTCAGTTAGAGAGATGGGCCACTGCTCCTAGGGTCTGGCCCCTGCAACTAGGGTCATGATCATCCCCACCTCTTTCACCAATCATAGACAGCTAGGGAACTGGTCAGTTATAATGTGAGATGGGCCACTGCCCCCTGCCACTAGGGTCATGATCATCCCCACCTCTTTCTCTATACAGACTCCTGACATACAACTGGTCAGTTATAAAGAGAGATGGGCCACTGCCCCTGGGGTCTGACCTGCAACTAGAGTCATGATCATCCCCACCTCTTTTACCAATCATAGACAGCCAGGGAACTGGTCAGTCATAAGGCGAGATGGGCCCCTGCACCCAGGTGTCATGATCATCCCACCTCTATACAGACTCCTGACATAAAACTGGTCAGTTATAAAGAATGATGGGCCACTGCCCTTGGGGTCTGACCTCTGCAGCTAAGGTCATGATCATTCCACCAATCACAGACAGAGAACTGGTCAGTCAGGAGAGATGGGCCTCTGACCCCCTGCAACTAGGGTAATGATCATCCCACCAATTATAGATAGCTAGGGAACTAGAGAGTTATCAGGAGAGATGGGCCACTGCCCTGAGGTCTAACCTCTGCCACTAGGGTTATGATCATCCCAACTCTTCTATTTACCGACTCCTGACAGAAAAATGGTCAGTCAATAGGAGAGATGGGGCCGCTGACAACTGCCACAAGGGTCACCATCACTACACTTCTTCCACCTGACAGCTGGCAAGCTGGTCAGTCATCGGTAGATATGGGCCACTGTCCTCCTGGGGCTGACCCCTACAACTAGGGTCACGATCACCTCACTTCTTCCACTAATAACAGCTGGGGGTACAGAGCCAGCCTAATAACCTAAAATGAAACTAGTTAGTCATTAGAAATGGACCCACTGTCCGTCCCCCGGGTCTGACCTCTGCTGCTAGGATCATAATCACCTCTTCCACTGATTACAGATCGCTAGAAAACCACCCCACTACTTCCAGCAATCACAGCTGAATTGCAGACCCCCTGACAGCTACAAAACTGGTCAGTTATCAGGAGAGATGGGCCCACTGACCCTTACTGCTAGGTTCACAACCATCCCCACTGGTCAGTCACCAGTACAGATGGGGCCCACTGCCCCCAGGGTCTGACTCCTACCATTAGAGTCACAAAGGCCCACAATGCTTTTACTAATCACATCTTGGCCTGCGTAGACCGTTGACAGAGTCCTAAAAATTGACTGATCCTTATCCAAATGCTGCAGGACCTCTTTGGAAGCCACCTTGTTGGTCATCAACCTCCTGTGACTGCAGCAACTGACCCTGCAGTTTCTATGGTCACCTTTTACAGATGCTGCTGAGCCTCTTTGTGTCTTGGCCCATAACTCACATGTGACTACAGATTACACAGGAACATCGTATGCTAACACTGCCTTGATTTCCAGGCTTTATATTTCTTGTTCTTTTCTTTTGCCAGTGCTGCCAAAGTACGGACGTCAGAGGGACGCTTCTTGCTGTGGGCTGCTTTCCTACTGTCACTGGACCTTGCATGGTCTCTGTCACATTTCAAAGCCACACCGGTTCCTTGTCCTATTACCGCTTTATAACATTGTTTTTGTTTTCTCCCAAGTATGTGATCAGATCTACAGAGAGCAACAATTCCTTGCTGTTTATTTATTTGAAATGTTGAATGTTTGAATAGTTTATGATGGGGCCATTTGTTTAATTTGCATCGAAGTTCTATACACGCATGGTTGTTTACTAGACAGGAACGTGCTCTTGCATTAAACGCTAGGCTCCTTGTATTCTCTTTTTTTGTTTTGTTTCAGATTTAGAGCTGTGATGTACAGGCCACTATAAATAGCATTGCGGTGGTCCCTCTGCTGTTGTATGCGATGCAGTATCTTGCTTCCTGACGTTTTCCTGTAACGTACGATTGTTTCAAATGGGTGTTTGGATTTAAAAAGCAAAAACAACGCTGGCTCATTTCTCAGTATATCGTGTCTCAGGTTGAATTCTCTAGGGGGGGGAGAGATTTTTAACTCTAAAGATCCATTGACTGACAATATCCTTTTTTAAGAAGCGACATTCCGCCTAAGTTTCCTTTGTATTGTTAGTCTTTAAGTCCACTGTTTATGCTCTGAAAGCCGTGTAATGGATTGCGTACGTGTATCCTACAACGGCCGCACCGCTTACCGCAAAGCCTTCAACTTCCAAATGAGTTCCTTTTTAAATCTTATGGAGTATATCAAAGATTGTTGACCACTATGACGTTGCTTTGTTTTTAATTTAATGACAAATATTGGAATTCTGTAATTTTCTTTACTTAAAGCGATGTTAGCCTGCATTTATCTTTCCCATTGTATAGTATTTATAAAGTTAGGGATTTGAAACTTCATCCAAAACTTTTTTTTTTTCTTTTGTAATTGAGTGAAGAGTTAGAACCTCTCCAGTTTTTTTTGTTGATGGCTGTTGGAGTGTTTCCATGCGTGATAGGAAGTTAGAGGTGATGCTCTCAACAGAGATAGACGCGTCAGTAATAATGTGACCTAGGGTCCACTAGCACTTACTTTTTGGCTGCTGCATTTTCCTTTTTAAATGCATGGAAACACATTAGGGGGAATTTATCAAGACTGGAGCAGACAAAAACTGGAGCAGTTGCCCATGGCAACCTCTCTCTTCAGTTTTGTCAGTTAAGATTTGGAAATTGAAGAGAAAAGCTGATTGGTTGCCGTGCACAGCTGCTTCACTTTTTGTCTGCTCCAGTTTTGGTAAATTTCCCTTCGCTGATCTCTAACCACTTGCCGTAGGCCGTATGGAAATGATTAAGAGGCGCTGTGATTTCAGGGCTCATTGCAATGACCCAACAGCCACCGCTAACCAAACCTGCAGTATTAGGGAGAATTCATATCAAACTTAAAGTGACACTAAACTTGTAAGTTAAACCCTAAAAATACAGTACCCTAATTATTAACAAAAATGTCTCTTATTTGTGTATCACTCTGCTGTAGATCCTCAAATCATCTCTGAATTCATACTGACACTGTTTTTCCTTCTGGAGGGTGGCTACTTTTGTTCCCCATGGTCCCTGTGTGTGTTGCAAAGTAGTCACTGCTCCAAGCTCACTCGTGTTATGGACTACAATCTCACATTTAGTTTACTAATTTGTATTGAAATTGTAGTCCCATCACAGGAGTGAGCGTGGAGCGGTGGCTACTTTCCAACACCCAGGGACCATGGGGGAACAAAAGTAGCCACCCTCCAGAAGGAAGGACAGTGTCAACACCAATTCAGAGATGATTTGAGGATCTACAGCCAAGTGATGCACAAATAAGATACATTTTTGTTAATAATTAGGGTATTTGAATGTATTTAAGATTTAACTCTTGCGTTTACTGTCACTTTAATATAGATGAATTTGGAGTCCTCCCCCTGAGGGGCGGGCTTCCGATGACCGCAATGCTGAACGGGCAGTGTGCGCGTGCGCACACCGGCCCGTTCAGCATTTGTCTTCCGAGCACCGTTCTAACCAGCCGAGAATCGTACGATTCCCGGCTGGTTTTCGAACATGCTGGTTCGACAGAAGACGTGCGACCGTACAGTAGAAACGGTCGCACGTCTCCGTTCACACTGCTCGATTCTCGTACAAAAAACCGATCGCATACGATTATCGCACGATAATCGTGCAGTGTATGGGCACCTTTACAGTGAGTTGTCATCAACAGCTCCGGGTCACAGTTTCTGACTGAGAGCCAATAAGTACGGGCTCCCAATCATGTGACGGCTGTGTCAGCCAGTCACAACGATCACATGATCAGGAAGCCCGTCTCAACTCCCAACTGTAAGAACCTGTTCCGGGACTGGCGGCAAACCGGTTAATGAAAAGACATCTTGCGAAAACAAATAATGTTCAGGCCGTAGATTCTGACCCCTCTGCACTCTACACAAATAATTGTTTCATTGGTGCCTGTTGTGAACTTGTTATTTTTTCAGGTTCCAGGTTTCCTTTCCTTGCCCTATGGCATGATGAATAGGGACAGGAAATGTGAGGTTCTATCTCTTACTATCATAGTTCCATACTAATAGTAAAGGTTTTGGTTGGAGTTCCATTGTAGAAAAAATGATTTGATTTCTTTTTATCTATAAAAAAAAAGAAAAAGCCTTAACGCCACATATTGATTTAAATCTGCTTCTTAAATCTTTCATTCGCTGTATTCCACTTTTATTTGTTTTGTATGAACTGCAACAGTATTCTTCCATGCTTAAATGTATCTGATACACCTGTTGGATTCTATTCTGTTACTACATTTCACAGAGTATGTATAAATGTATTTTTTCTGCAAAGCTTAGAGCAGCCTTTTTTGTCTCTAGAAAATGTAGAAACTCATTAAAGAAAGACGTGCACAAATATCACAACACTTGTGTGTGTGTGTGTATGTATGTATGTATGTATGTGTATGTGTATGTGTATGTATGT